CAGCCATCTTGGAATTTTTTGTGATGACGTCATCATTCCGATTAATTTTTTTTACGACAGTGAAGAGTAATTATTTAGCCAAGTTCAAGTTACATTTGATATACATAGCATATGTATAAGTGACTAAAAACATACATTTATTTCCCCTACCCCCATCTTAATCAGTCCAAAATAGGATATTTTATGTCAAAACTTCAAAGTGCTTTAAAAAAAAGTTGCCCAAGCTCTAAGAATGAGGATTTTTTTTTCTGAGACACTATATGATATACTGATTCAGAAAAACCAAAAATAAATTTTCCTTTACTTTTTTCCCGCTAATTTCCTACTGCACCCAGTCTATAATTATTTATAAATATCACATTCATAAGTATAACTAGATTCGGAATTCGTCATAGACGAATTTGGTGATACGCTGAGACTGATGATAGTAATTTTGATACCTGTTCGTCGTAAAGATACGAATTTTCCCTTCATAAGAACTATATAATCAGTCTGATAGCGTCGAAATACAGTCAGCCGCCCTCTGTTGGTCTGTCCAATATATTATTTCTCAATAATTGAAAGTGAAGAGGTCCAAAAATCATTCATTTTGACCATGATGACGTCATCAAAATGAAAATGAAGGACATGATTCCGAAAGAGAATTGTCTCAGCTATAACTTACTCAGAAGTTGAGAAACTATTGACTAACAATAAGAAAGATACGCTTAAATATGTTAATAAATGAGGAAATTAAAAGAAAAAGTTTTTATTAATTCAGATGGCAAAATGATAACGTCACAATTTCCGATCATCCATTATGATCAATAAAATCATATCTACAACTCATGTGTTTTCAGAATATGTAATAAAAATGGGTGTTACCGATCATTCTAAGGAGCTATAACAGATTAAAAATGTTATGATGCGCGCACGGAAAATTTGCGAGCATTACATTCATACTTGACTTGAAGTTTTATGCCAATTGAATATGATTTATATATGTCAATTATTTATGATGATATAGGTGATTTCAATGATTTGAGGAAAGAAAGATGAATGGTCAGATAAAACAATTATGTAAAAAATGATGACGTCATCAAAATGTAAAAAGTCGTGACATTTATGAAAGAGAATTGTCTCAGTTATAATCTTCCTCAATGTTTAGAGAAAATAGATCAAGGATAAGGAAGATACGCTCAAATGCGCATTTTTTTTAAATGACGTCATCGATAATATTCAGTTTGTTGAATTCAGATGGCAATATGATGACGTCATAATGTCTGATCAGCCATTATGACCTATAAAATCATATCTACAACTTATGTGCTTTCAGAATATAGTAAAAATTGAGGGTCACCAATCATCCTAAGGAGCTATAAGCGATTGAAAATAGGCATGACTTTGGCCTATTTCCGCTCTAACTCGACAAAAACGCGCACATGGATTCGTATCTTTTATGCGCGCGTACAGCATTGCTACTGACCCTAAATGACCGAAAAAGATTGGAAAATTGTGAATACATGTAAAAAAACGATAATTCCAGTTTATGTACGTGCGCGCGTAAAAATGCGCGCGCGGGACGAAAAGTTACGAAAAATGACCTAAAACATGCTCTAATTTAGTCAGAAAGCACCCCATTATTCTACTGTCATCATATTCATATATATAGGACTGGTGACTGTCCTTGTAAAATGCAATATGCGAGGGTTATATAATCCTAATCTGGCTTATGCCGTCCTGTATATTGTATATACAAACAACAGTTTAATTACTATACTGGAACAGCTTCAAACGCCGGGAACCAGCGTAGATTTTTTAACCAATTTCTAAATACGCCATTTTGAAATTCATCCGAATTATGACTGTAAACACACGCATTTACATGGTTTTTTGATTCAAAATAGTACGTATACAGGTATGTATATCATGTCTTTCTCTAAAATTTTAGACTTATATTAACTCTAATGCTTTAAAAAACATTAAAGTTCAGTCAACCTAGGTCTATAGACTTATAGACCAAGGCCCCCGGCATATTGCCTAGTTTAGGCCTAGATGAACAACTTTCGGCTCGATCATGTGTGGGAAAAAGCCGGGCCTCTGGCCTAGGGGTGAAGGGCCTAGGTATTTAGAATTGCCAAAAGGCTCCCTACTTTGAGTGTCATAGTGGGTCCCCCTAATAGTACCTCCCTGGTGTTCTATTACCTCAGTGCAGGCCTATATTTGAATTCACTATTTCTACTACTAGCCTCCTATATTAGGCTTAAGGC